GCAGACACACTAAATACACAAAGTATCGTTGGTTTGTGAAGGCTGATGTCAGAGACTGTCCTCATCTGGTAAAGATTTCAAAAACTTCAAATTGCCTGTATTTATATTTCCTTGACAAGGATGTCTGCAGTCATGTAAAAGAAAACTGTTGTCATAGCTGATATTGGCCATGGGTTGATTTTTGAAGGCTACTGCTGATAACCTACTTTGTTGTTTTGGTTGGATTATTGATATCAGGCTTAAGTAACTGGTCACAGCAGAGAGTTGCACAGTAACGTAGATCCACTGAGCACATCTGGAAGACACATCTGGAAGTATGCAGATGTAGCAATGAATAGTTTTGTCTGTAGCAAATGGATTCACAGAGCAAAGCTCTCATTGGTTCTCATTCAACAGAGCAGCAATCCCCTCAAAAGGTGTCATTGTCAAGATGGTGTGTTTAACTGATCATTTTAACATAAAGGTAAAATGTACATTGACTTTACTTGCTTTTCAGAGCGATTCCACTCCGGGCCAACTGGGATTTGAGCAGGTAGTCCTCAGTCCAGTGCCCCTGTGCTCTTTGTCTGAGGCCTTTTCAAATGAAAACATGGTTTCTTCTGCGGTGGGGGAAATTTTGGAAGGTCACTTTCATCTGAACGCTGCGTACTGCACTGATCATCACACCTGTGGGCAGTGCCTGTGTCTTTATACATCGGGAGGGCCAATGGTTTAATAGGAGGGACTCACATGCACGCGTACATGCACTAACATGCATGTGCTATGAGACCAACTACCAAAACAAAGACCAGAGAAACGCAGATTACAACACACACAGAGAGGGTGTGGCTTCGTTCTCTGCTCAGGACGCCCTTAGTCCACTATATCTTTACATAGAAAATAGTTGTTCGCATCTATATTATTGTTTGTTATTATTGTCTTCTCTCATCATGAGGCTAAAATTCGCTCTTGTACCCACAAATTATAAAAATGTAATAAGCAGGTTCCCATAAAAATTAGCTCTCCAGAGCGTAACAATGTCTGTCTTAAACACTTGAGATATTGCCCTTAAATCAAAGTCCACTGCTCTCCAGAATGTGAATTCCCTTCGTTTTGGACACTTCATAATGCAAGCTGTCCTACCACCACTTGACACTGATTGACACCTGTATCTGCAAAACAGTATCACAGTCTCTCGCTGAACACAAACACTTCACAGGCTCCACCTGACACCCACACTGCAAAAGAATCACACTCCCTTTGCTTCAACACCTTCTTCTAACACTGATTATTAATACCTCACAGTCCTGCGGCTACACACTGAATCCAGGCTGAATTTCAACAAGGCAAACTTATTGACTGTGATTGATTTTGAAACATCTCTGGACACCTCCTATGTATATAAATACAGACACAAACACACACACTCGCTGACGGACATCGAACAGCAGCATGAGTGTGTTTACCAAGCTATTGTAGCCAAACAGGCATCTTAAGCTGCAGCCTTCTGATGCTCAATCAGGCTTCAAATGGGGAAAAACAACAGGTTTGGCAGTGATTTTTTTTCTTGCAGGACAATGCTTCCCTGAGCACCCAAGGACATGGTTTCCATGCAACAACTGTGGAGAGCTGTTTTGATTGTTTTTCAATCAAGCGAGACAAAAACTAATTGTTGAGGAACTGGAGAATTATGGGCTTCTTTCATGAAGCGTGGATGACTGGTACTTCTAACTTCTGCGACACCCTCAGTCCAAACACTTTGTTTGGACTGACTGCTTGCTGTCATGATTTTATTTTACACATATTTTATTTTATACATATATATATATACACATATATACATATATACATATAAACATATATATATGGGTGTGTGTGTATATATATATATATAGGGGAGACCGGGGATGGTTGTAACACTTTTTGACGCAGCTCCTATAACTTGCAGAATGTTTGCGGTAGGGTACTCAGATTTTGATACAAAGTACCCTCATTTGTCTACTACAAATAGCAATGTTTTTAACTTCTCCAACTATATCACAGAATTCATTATTTGATGTCAAATGCAAGGAGTGCCATTGTTACAACCTACCCCACTACCAGGGTATGTTGTAACACAACCTGGGGTAAATTGTAACAGTTAGATTGAAGAACTAAAAACTGAGACTACACCACAAAATATGCATCTATATAAGTTTATTGTGCATGTGCCAACACTAAAGCATCTTCCTGTGCTTCTCTAAGAACAAAAAGAACTCATCACTGATGGCTAAATGAAGAACAGTGTCAGTGTTAACATTAAAAGAGCTTTTTTAAAGAACATATCCTGATAATACCTATGAATGTTACACATACAAATGGAAACCTTTAGCAGGAGGTCAGAAGTAGCTCATAATCCATGTAAAATTACAGGAAGACGTTTGACAATTAGTAAAACAACAAACATGCATACTGTGGCTGTCTTAAATGATAAAACATGATCTTGAGTGTGTGTATCTGTGTGTGTTATCCATCTAATCAGAGGGATCAGAGTCACAGTGGTGACAGATGTATGAGGGTTTTCCAGGGGTGCAGTTTTCGTGGGCCCAGAACTTGCAATTTACACATCTGATCCACTTTTCTTTGGGTTTGGAATTTCCAAAGGGCTCCATGCACACAATTCAAAAATCATCTTCATCTGGGGTGTCCTCACCCTTATCCTTGTTCTTCTTGGATCTCTTTTTGGCTGTCTTTCTCTCTGCATTATTTTGTTTGCATTTCCTCTTTCCAAATATGGCCATTTTCACATTCTTCTTACTACTCTTCTTTTCTTCTTCCTCCAAGGCCTGCTTGTATCTGTGTAGATGTCTGACTTTATCCTTGTCGTACCAGTGGTCTTTCTTGGCCCTGCTTTGGGAAATGGTCTTACAGTAGAGGGACTACTGTGCATTGAAGACTTTTTGACTGCTGTGATAGCCCACACTGGGCAGCTTTCTTGAACCTTGTTCACATGGCAGATGGAGTAGTCTTTGGTGACTGACCTCACTGCTTTTCCCTGCCTCACTTCATCTGATGCAACTTTAAGTACATGTGCAAGCACACCCCTATTCGTTTTCCTCACCCACTGTCTTGGCATACTGAAAAAAAGGAGTAGGATAGAGAAAATATGTGAATTGTGATTATGGGGATGGTTGTAACATTTTCTTATATGGTGTACAACCTATCCCCACCCCTGTCAGCCAATGTTTACCTAGCTGTATCAGCATGGTGGTTTGAAATTAGCATGGATGAAATGACTCACATTTTACGTAAGAACCTACTCTCTTACCTGATACAAGTTACCTAATTCAAACTTCAACAGTATCAGTACTAATCAAAATATAGACTTGGTCCAAAAAATTACTTTCTTACCTGAAAATTGATGTTTTGACTGTAAAATCTGCACACTTCCTCTCACAGCCATCCAAATTCACATGCAAGATCAGGGAGGAAGTGGATATACATGAAATTGATCACATGACTCTTATGTTATCCCTTATTGATGAAAGTGATGCTGTTACAACTATCCCTTTGTTACAACCATCCCCGGTCTCCCCTATATATATATATATATATATATATATATATATATTTTTTTTTTTTTTTTTTTTTGAAACATCTCTGGACACCTCCTATGTATATAAATACAGACACACACACACACACACATGCGCTTGCTGAAATATATATATATATATATATGTGTGTGTGTGTGTGTGTGTGTGTATGTATATGTCAGTGCACATCAAGGTTTTGTTTGCTGTATATTTCATTTGCTTGAGTGGTCTCTCGATACTGTATTAAGTAAGAACCTCACTGACAACATGTTTGTTTGCTTTCACTGCGTTGTCTCCATGTCAGTGATAATGTCCACACCCATCCTCACAATAGAGCTTCACCCCGTTCTGTTGAATCTGTCTTTTGTGCATCCAACATCACATTTTCTCAAGCGCAGTGTGACAACTATTGCACCCACTGTACTGCATACATATTTTAATTTACGCTGTATGCATATTTTTGCATGTATTTAGTGTTCTGAAAGGCTTATAAGAGTTGGCTATTTGTTCATTACATTAGAGCCGCAGCTAAATAAGTATGTTCTGTTTTATTAGGACTAAACTTCATCAAAAAGACTTTGAGAATTTACAAATGGTTAGAAGAATATTGGCATATGAAATGAACACTCTTGTCATTAAGGGACCTAAAAGTAAGTAATCAGCCTAGTAAAGTAATCAGTCAAAATGGAGGAAATTACCTGGTTCTCTCTGTGGACCTGTCTTCAAAAAAACTGAAGCAGCAGCAGTAGTAATATTAGTAGTACAGTGTTACGTGATTTAGAGTTGTAACCCTGAAGGGGGAGGAGTGACAGCCCTCATCTCTCATGCTGCAGTAACATGTAAATCTGCAGCAGATGAATGTGCCACTGACAGTCTCCATCTGTCTCTACTCATAAACTAAAATATGCTTATAAAACATTTTTGGGTTTTGTATATAACAGTCACACAATTTCACTATATAGTGTTTTTATATCATCTCTTTCCTTTATTTTTCATTATTTATCTCACTGTAATCTATACTCGCGATTCACACGCATGGAATCCTTATTAATATGGGTTGAAAATGTCAGTAGCATATTTATATGTTTGTAATTTTTTTTCATTAGTTTTATTCATTCTTATTTTATATGTTAGATCTGCTCTTATACTCATTATAGTAGTTTTTCTTACAGAATACAATCACTACTCCTGCTCTAAGTTCTTTTCCGATAATTGCATATTTTGTCAACGCTGAAATGATCAAATATTTATGGCGATTGTGTCTGTAGCATGAATAGACGCAGATCCATACATATGTCTTTTGATGGGAAGCTTTGAGAAGCCATCATGATATTGAAATTTCTCTGATTCTGAGCTGATCCATCCTGCCAGGCCACTGTGATTCGTTGTGTGCTGTATCCCATGTTAATAATGCCCTGTCTCTACCCTCCCTGTCTTTGTTTGCAGACGGACGCTGCGCTGATGTACGATGCTGTGCACGTGGTGGCCGTGGCGGTGCAGCAGTCTCAGCAGATCACTGTCAGCTCATTACAGTGCAACCGACACAAGCCCTGGCGCTTCGGGAACCGCTTCATGGCCCTCATCAAAGAGGTAGATGCTTCTCTACCTGCTCCCCATTCTGTCTTCTTCCTCAATATACACCGCACCTTCACACAGAAAACATGTGCTCTCAGGAAAGCGGGCAGCAGTGGAATATAAATAAGACTGAGGCACTCAAGAAGGGAAATATGAATAAATAGAAATCATTTATCAGTGTATTTATTTATATGGAAGTTATTTTCCAGTTTGTGTACGTACATACTCCCCGAGGAATCAGCCATGTTGATCCTGCTCTCTGAATTTCCACATTAATCATCTATGCAGAAACATAAACACAACATTATCTAAATTTTGGGTAATTACCCCACAGTTTGCAGCGTTTGTGAAGCTGGGACGGTTAATCCAGAGCTTTCTATCTGTGGAAACGCAGGGGATTAAGCAAACTATATTTAGGGCTCTCCAAACTTCTGTTCTCTTTTAGTTTGCAGAGATCATGAAAATACTTCTAAGAATCAAACCATATGGGTAGAGATTTGGATGTATTTATATTAAGCGCACAGTTTTTCACCATGCAAATCTCATCTTTGCCTCCCTGACCTTCCCCTCGTTCCCGCTCTTCTTTCCATCTCCTCCCCATCTGCTGCTTTTAGGCTTTCTTTGTCCTCCGTCTTGAGGATCTATAAGCCCATAGAGTCAAACAGGAGGATGCCAGCATTTATAAGACGACACTGTTTAACTCAACGGCTACATTGCAGAAAAGTAATTGGCAACATTTATGCTAGTGTAAAATGATGAGCCTCGACACTAGCTAACATGACATTGTCTTTGAAATATTCTGCCCCACAGGATCTTTACTGACCTGAAGAACTCATTTAATAATGTCCCCAGATTGTTCTTGAAATGGAATGTGTATACATTTACATTTTCTCAGCGATTCCCAACCTGGGACGGATCCGCAAAGGTATCGCAAAGATATCACAAGTGGGCAGAGAAATCGTTTGCTAAACAGTACAATGTTGGTGAAAATAAAAGTAAGTGTTTTACAACAAAATGATTTTTAAAATAATTAAAAATGTTTCAAAACTTCTTGCATCATTGTATTTTCTCAAATGAAGGCCAGTCACTGTGATAAACAAGTGATAGGAACTTTTAAGTTGTTACCGGCTGGACTGCTTCACTGCCGCACCTCGCTGTTTACTTGTTCGTGATCTCAGTCTGATTGAATGTTAAGGTATTAGATCCCTTGCAAAAACTGGACTTTCAAAATAGCCAGTTCGCAACAGAAGATAAAGATGGTGAATCGACAAATGATTTCTCCCGTCAAACAAAAAAAGAAAAATCAAGCTTCCCCTGATTTCAGTTCAGTCTAGAATCTTCCATCGTTATAATTAGAATAAAAAATACTCTGAGAACGTATTCTTTGGCCTCTGTATTGTTACAGGGTCGGATGTGGGCCACCAACATTTTTGAGATTTTCAAGTGGACTATGAGTTGAAAAATGTTGGGAACCACTGATCTATAAAGTATGTAGGATATACACTCAAAAACCCTGCAGATTGACCCCATCACTGGCAATGAATAAACGGTCTGTGTTTGCAGAGTATGACAGGAAATAAAAGCATGACACTGACAGAAGAAATATTACAACATCTGTTCAAAGTTCCATGAAAAGTGGCATCCATGTCGATGGTACATATTGGATGGGGTCATGCTCCCCAGAGGATGAACCCTTGTAATTTTAATGATCCAGTGACCTTTCTGCTCCCACCAATTTTTGGAAATAATCTTTAATATTCTTAATCTCACAACCTGCAATACCAGGTTGTTTTGAAGTCTACCACATGTGAGCTCAAGAGGTAGAGCAGGTCTTCCACTAATCAGAAGGTTGTTGGTTCAATCCCCAGCTCGTCCATTCCATGTGTCGAAGTGTCTTACCCCCCCCCCCCTTATATACGTATGTCTATACATACAACTATTACGTACATAAATATATAAATACACACATATAGAGAGGGAGAGAGTGAGAGAGAGATAAAGTTGTTTGGGTGGTGTGCTGATGTATGACAACAGTTGTCTTGGTAATCTGGCTGTTTAACTTTTGATCTCTTTTGTTCAAATGTAAATTTTGGCTTGATAGTGAGGCTACACAGTTCTGATCTGTGCGACACAAAAACATTAAGGAATCATCATCTGAGGAGCATGACTGTTCTCTTGGAAAACAGTCCAACAGTTTTTGAGATACCACATACTGCACATGGCCTGGTGGCGGTGCTAAAAGAAATGTCAACAAAAACCATCTGATTTACCTGCTGGACATAATGACACGGTGGAGACATGAATATCCAGACCACATTTCCATGAAATATCTTGTTCTAGACCAAAAACAGACTGAAAGACAGAACACATTCACATATTGTTATCTTACCTCAAAGACTGACAGACACTCCTCACCTGATCCTTGCTAGTTGTAATTCATAATAGTCCCTATTGGAGTAACGTATCACTGTATGTGGGAACAGTGCTGGTATCTATAGACAGATATTCAGACACTGAGTCAAAGTAGTATGAGTATGAGTAGTATGACAAATGCTTTCTAGCACAGTTGACTGTTCTAAGTAACTTCCAGATCTGTGACTCCCACTCATCTCACTAAAGATAGGCCCTGAAGTTCCCGGCTCCCAGTCACAGCAGCATTGTGATGATTTGCTGTGCCTGAGAAAAAGCCTTTCCCGCTCTGAGCCACTTTCATGCTACATTGTATCCTATCACATCCCTAAATATCTGTAAAGATTGGGTAATTGCCTTCCCACTGTCACAAATGCAGCCTCAGAGTCTGTGTAGGCACCTTGATGCCAGGGAAGACTGTACAAACAGAAACAGTGTGTGAGTGTGTGGTATCATTCTTTGATTGCTCTGCCTCAAACAGCGACACCAAACACATATTTGAAAGCAGAGATGTGGAGTTAATTCTGGTGGTTGAATGTCTCCGCTGATACTCTTGGTGTCTCTGTGTGTCTCACTGTAGGCCCACTGGGACGGCCTGACCGGGAGAATCACTTTCAACCGCACCAATGGCTTGAGGACAGACTTCGACCTCGATGTCATCAGTCTGAAGGAGGAAGGTCTTGAGAAGGTTGTATTTTTAATGTGTGTGTGTGTGTGTGTGTGTGTGTGTGTATATATAAAACAGAAGCGGAAAATTAGTAGTGATTCATAAAATATCAACACACACACACACAAAGAAAATACCTCATTAACATGTAGGTGTGAATGCAGTCCATCAATGAAGGGGCCTTGAGGGAACTCTCTGGCAGCCATATTGCAGGTCCAGCAGTCATCGGAAACAGTGGCTATGAATGACATAGCATTTTCTAAACTTACTATACATATTCAATTAGAATTAAATAAAAAAAACCTCATTTTACCAGTGACTCGTCTGTGTAAAGGAATAGTTTCCCTTCTTTCTGAGATGAGGTCAATATCAATCTTATGTCTGTGTGTTCAGGTGGGACATAGTTAGCCTAGCATAGCATGAAGACTGGAAGAAAGGGGAAACAGCTAACCTGGTTTTGTCCAGAGTTAAGTGCATCACCACCTCTGTAGCTTACAGATTAGTGTGTTGTTTTGATTTAGTTTCGTTTAGTCTGTGCAACACATAGAAATGTAAATGTTTCATGCTGGAACTATTTCTTATCAAACAGCTGCTGGTTGTTGTGGCTGCACAGTTGGTCATCACAGGGAGGTTGCCAGTTTTGATAGAAAATTAATTCCTGCACACATTTATCACCTCTGCATTGATTTATATTATTACCAATTTAATGTCAAGAATTTGTCTGTTCAGCCCCCTCTTCTATTTCAGTATCTATGTAGGTATTTATGTATATTATTTTATACCCTTGAAGCTCCCTACCCACCAATGCTGGATGTGTGGTGTGCATGTGCTTTTGGGGGGTTTGTATATGTACATACAAATATAACAACTTGAAAAAACAGTTTATAATAATTGTCAGATATTGTATTTTTTGACAATGGAGGAAATCCTGATTGGATAAAGTGCCGCATGTGATCATGGACACACCTCCGACACAGCTGTGGATTATCCTCTAATAAGAACTATGTCATTTTATGGTTGATATGTCTTGGGAAAGGTCCTTGTGACTGAAATGTTGACCTTTTTAATAGATCAATGCAGAGGTGATAAGTGTGTCTAGGAGTAAATGTTTCTGTCTGGGGTCAACTTGATTCCCTGAACCACAAAAGAGTTCGAGCAGCTGGTGCGTGTGTTGCCACCTCCTCATCAGCTGCCAGTTCTGGGACCAAACCAAACTTAATCTCTGTGCTCACTGTCTGTAGTTTTAGTTTGTATCTAAAACGAATAAGATACAATGTGTCCATGTGTGAGCTTTGGAGGTGTTGATAGATGTGTGTGTGAACTGGACAGAGCCAGACCTGAACCCTGTCTGGTCCTAAGTCCAGCTCCAAACATGCTTTCATCTCACTCTAGGATTGACAGAAACTTCAAACTATTCATTTAAGTTTGTATTAACATCAGTTTGTTAACCAATATGTAAGCATGACTGCATCCAAAATTTTTTATTGTCTCACTAATACATAACATTTGGCAAATATTAGAATGTCCATGTGTAGACTTTGAAAGGTTTTGACTTTTGGCTGAAATAGGATGCATCATTTAGAGGCTCAGATGGCTGTTTGTGAGTCTGGAATCTCTGAACAGCTCTGTTGACTGTCTCATGAAATCCAAAAAATTGACAGGCTCCTCCTTTTGTTCAATTAACATAGTGCCAACTCAGCTACAGACACTAAGAGTAAAAAAACTGCAGTTCCATGACTTTTTAGAGCAAACAGCAGTCAACCCAAATCTCCAAATTTATGTTTTGAAACTTAACAGAGCTCACAGTTTGGTTTCAACCAATCCAAGAAGAGTTGATTCGAGGCTCCCTGGCCTTGTTTAGATACTTTTTTTTACTCTTTTGACATTTCACCTGTCATCCAAGAGGCTTCTTCCGGTCTGACTGACAGGTGTGGATCTCCTAACCAGTCAGTCCTCCATTCAGCTTTTCTTGGATAACCATGAATCTTCATCTTCACAGATTTCAAACCATCAACAGTGTTTCATGATTGAGATGCAAGGTTACAGTGTCACAGTGCACCACACTGTTTTCCTTTTTATGTATTTAGCTGTTGCTTGTGCACAGCCAATCCTCCAAAGGAACTTTCTGACCAACTTGCCAGGAGACTTGTGAAGTAACTACAAAGCCTCTGTAAGAGCTATGTATTGTAATCAAAATAAATTGGATCCATCCATCCAAGGAATACATGAGGATCAAACCGCCACACTGAGCCAGCCCCAAAGTTGCCATCAACTTAAAAGAATATTCAAGTTCAATTCAGAATTACACAGAAAGGTCTGGAGAGGAGAGGCACGACATGTGACTGAGGTCCAGATTGAAATTCAGGACTTCACCTCAGTGGAACAGGCAAGTTCACTGAGCCACCAGGACAGGCCAAATGTCAGATTTGAATTATGGAAATTCTGTTAGAAAGTGACACTAAATCTGCATTTTGACAAACAGAACAAAAACACAATGTTAACATGCACAGTCAAGACACATTTTAATGGTTATACAGCACAGTACACTGAAGTGAAACTTAGCTTCATCAGGTCAAAGCTAAATATGAATATGAGACACATTCAAGTCCACCATCTTATTGATGGTTCAAATCATATTCCTCCTGTCTGTACGAGCCATGAAGAGATCCCCTGCTAGAGCGGCACTGTAAAAGAAAGTGGAAAAAATCTAGTCACACCGAAGCCAAATCACATCATGATTTTTTTTTTTAAAAGTGACATTAAATGTTAATTGTTTCCTCACTAAGACTGTGGTGGAAACTCCACTTTGTTGCCATGCAACTCAAAAAGTGCTTAGACTCGACGCAATGGGAGATTCTGCCTCATTTTTGTTTTTGTGTGACTCTGACAGATGGAAGGTTTTTTTTGCAGCTAACAGTGCAGACATTAGATCCAGCTACTGTAGCTGACAGCACACTCCGGCTCTGTATGTTTGTGTGACAAATCAGATTGATTTCAAAGCTTGCCAGGAACTCAAGCTGTTTTTCTTATTTTACTCAGAACTCTCTCATGTTTCCTCTCATCTCTGTGCATAATAAGGGCTGACAGAGAAAGAAAGAGGTCGCTGACAGTTATGGGATATTTAGAAAAAAAATTCAACGGGCTGTTGGTGGTGAAAGTGTGTTGTTTCAGTTAACAGTAAGAAGATGAAATATATAATCCAGGAAGGTTAGTTAGAGTAACAGATCTGAGTTTGGTGGCTCATCAGATGCAGGATCACAGCTTAGGAAAGGTGTAGCGTGAACACCACAATTTAGAATTTGCTCTCGTTGAAAGGGGGCACCGGTCTTCAGGGAGGACAACAATGAATTTCTTCATTGATTAATGATATCAATCTCATATCAGAAGCCATGACTTCTCCATTCAATGGATCTCCAGCCTCTACGTCAAAAGATACAACAGGACAACAACTGGGTGTAAATAAAGGAGTTTATTAACTAAACTACTCTCTACAGAGTAAATGCAAGGTGTAATAATCATAAAGATGAAAATAATAATGAAATGAGCAGTGTGATGAGTTGGCAATGGTGGGAGAGAATATGTTATGGCTATACAGCTGATGATACTATGAATGAGATTTGATGATTAAATATTACTATATTTCGACCCAGTAATGAGCAGAGTGTTAAGACCGGCCTACTGTGAGTTGTGCTGGAGCTGAGGACCCTTGGCTGGAACCCAGGTGGCTGTGGTTGCCGTGGTAACCCCGGAGACTCAGGATCTAGGTGGATTCTCCTGGAGGCCGTGTCCTGTTATCACGGTGACAGATTCTTCCGGTCTCAAAAATCTTCAAAAATGAAAACATGATAAAATTTAAAAAGATACAAAATTACTCTGAGGCACTTCTGTTGTTTTGGTTCAGTTGGTCTTGACTTGGCTTATTGAAATAAACAAAAAGAATGTTACTTGGAGCACGGGGCAAAGGAAGAATAAAGGATGTGGACAAAATGAAAAAGTACAAAATGGCTAACAGCAGTGGCTAAAAGCTTGGAGCTAAGAGCTGTAGCTAAGAGCTAATGTGTGAATTGATCACAACTGTTTTATCCCCTGGAGGCTGGCGCACATTTCAGGGGCGTCATCCGTCTCCCCTTGTCTTTCAACTTGGAGAAGAGAATAATTTTCCTCAGAACTTTTGAATTGTTTAATTCTAGAGTTTATCTATAAACTCACACATTCGTCTTCCACCATGAAAATAAAACCTTACATGAAACAACATATAAACCTAATGGCACTAATAATGACAGACAGGAATAATACAAGTGTGGATTTCATATCACATCCTTCAAACCTGGAATTTATCATAATACAAGTGGTTAACTGATCAAACAACTTAATAAATAACTGCTGTGTAATCCACATTTATGGACTATTAGCTTTAGGAAATGTTTATTATATATAATATATTACTATAATAGTAACAAAATTAATAATATAGACATCCTGGATGTCATGTAGTGTGTGTTCCCTCGTGTGAAGGATGCTGACAGTATGGTCACATGAAGGACGTTGTCTTAAAATCTACATGTTACATTTCAAACATTCTATAGGATAGAAGTTTGGGATTAAACTATTGCATAGGAACATCTCATGAGTTACAGAACAGTTAGATATTTAATTATATATTCTTCCTCAGATCTGTGTCTGTGAAGGTTCTGCTGGTCACTGCTCAGGATTGGATGTGGGTTGTAGTTTATGATTTGGTTATCTAAGAGGGACAGAGGGGAAGGGAGAGACTGGTCTGTGTGTGTGTGTGTGTGTGTGTGTGTGTGTGTGTGTGTGTGTGTGTGTGGGTGTGTGTGTGTGTTGTGTGTGTGTGTTGTGGTGTGTGTGTGTGTGTGTGTGTGTGTGTGTGTGTGTATGTGTGTGTCTGTGTGTGTATTCATGTATGGCACAAAGAGGCCAGGATTCACACCTTAGTGATAATCAGACCTTTTGTTGTTACTTTTCTATATAAGAAACAATCAAATATCATTAGACAGAGTCTTATTGTTACAAACTGGAGATTTTGCCTATGTTCTCCAGTTGCCTGGTGTCCATTGGTTGATCCTCTGGAGCTGACCCTTTGACCCTTGGTCTGGTTGTGCATCTCTCTGACATGTTAAAAGCTGGTTTGTTTGTGAAACGGTCCTTCGTCTCTGTTTCCTATCAATTTGATAGTTTGATGGTGGGAAGAGTCACAAAGTGGCAATTTTGGGTCCATACCTCTGCATGTCCTTACAATGAACTTCTTTAATGCCTTGTGACTGATGCCAGGCCAGGTACAAAGGTTTTACAACTCTGGGAAGTCATGAAGCTGACACAGTTATCATTAGGTTAATTGTAGAGTTGTAATGTAAATAATCTCCAGAAGCCCTTTGAATCTGTGATGCTGCTGTACCATTGTTGGGGTCTCAATGAAATTAATGAGGGGGCTGTTTTTTTTTGCACAGTGCTAATGTTGTTCTAAAACATCCTCACATTGATCCAGCAAAGACAGAAATGTGTCATAGCTCTCCATGTGAACATAAATACACTGATATGGGAGTTCACTGTGTGAATTCTGTACTTTACAGTTTTCTGCTGCATCCTGTCATTGAAGCTCAGCAGACTGTAACTCTGGAAGATATCCATTGGATTTGGCTAACATCCAAGTGAAATACAAACCTACCTTTAACATCAGGTGACATGAGTGCATCATTACATGTCATGGCATTTAGCTCAGCATGTGTTTGTGTACTCATACAAAAAGGTGTATCTATGGTGTATATCTTTCCCTAGGAATGGCATCTCTCCCATGTTCTGCAGTCAATTTATGATTCATGAGATTATCAGTGGGAAGAAAACCTGCTACCACCACTGAGAGAAATGATATTCTCACATGCAACTGCTAACACTTCACACTTCAGCATCCTCACCGGTACTTGCCTCACAGCAGCTCCTGACCTCTGTTCTGGGTGCTGTGTGTGCCTGCACCTCCATGAATAATTTACTCTATTAATAAAAGCCCTCCAGCCTCATGAAGCCTGAATTAAAAAGTTGATTTGCAATTACAAAGCCTATCTTGGGCCCTCACGTAGGGCATCAGAGGAGCCCTAAGGAATGTGTGGCTGGCGTGGGTTGGAGTGTTTCTGGTTCCTTCTAGTGATGCTCAGGGCTGTGGGGTTGCATCGCATCACATCATTTCTGCATTTTTGTGAGATGCACATTAATTCTGCCAATCTCCTGTTCTACCACATCCCGAAGGTGTTCTACTGGATTCAGGTCTGGTGACTGGGGGTGGGGGCTGAAGTTCACTAAACTCAATGTCACAGTCATAAAACTGGTTTTAGCTTTGTGACATGGAGCATTATCATACTGCAAGTAGCCGTTAGAAGATAGTAAATTGTGGCCATAAATGAGTCATCAGTCACAGGCTATTAAAGAATTCATAGTAAGGACATGTAAAGTTTATAGACCCAAAAGGATTTACTCTTCTGGCCTACCCACCATCAAACTATCAGGAAAAGGAGACAAAGGAAAAACAGTAGCTATTAGCACGTCAGAGGGATAAGACTGAATCAGATTCTGTCTCTACAATGGTATTTGATTGTTACTTTTACAGGAAAAGTGACACCAAAAGGACGGTGATTATCACTGATGTGTGAATGCAGGAGTCACATATATATGCACACACATAAACTAATGTTTCCCCATCTCTCTCTGTCCCTCTTTAGATACACAATCATAAATCACAAGCCACAATCTGAAATAATATATAATTAACTGTCCTACTATTCTGTAACCCATGTCATGTTTTTATGTGATTTAGTCCAATCCCCAGATTTCTATCCTATAGAATGACCTACATGTAGAATATAAAGTTAAAGACAGTATCTACCATGTGGCCAGACTACCAGCATCCTTTTAGTGTAAGGAAACATTTACGTTGTTTGATGTCGTGTTTTGAATGATGACTAATATGAAATCCACGTTTGTATTGTTCCCTTTTTGTCATTAATATCACCATCAGGTTCATATGTTGTTCGTTTTAGTGAGTCATGGTGGAAGGTGGATGTGATATTTGTGAGGAGCTCGAGAGAAAACAAAGCAAAAGCTCTAGAGAAAATGACTCGCTTCTCTAGTTGAAACAAAAGAGAGGAGAGGTACCGTCCCTGAGATGTGTGTCAGCCCCGAGGGAATAAAACCACTGGGATTACTTTGCACATTCCTTTTTGGCTTTTTGCCATTCTGCTGTTGTGCACTTATTTTCCCTTTTGTCATTTTTTGTTCACATGTTCTTTGTTCTTTCTTTTGCTACGTATAGACGTTCCCGACTTCCAACACCAACTACTGCAGAGTCCGACCAGGAAAAACCCACAATTTCCCAGTTCATTACACAGTTTATTTCATCAGCTATTGATTAACCCTGTTCTTCTGCTCCACATTTCATCTTGGTGATTATCAGACATTATATTTACCCTCTGTTTTTAGGCGTAATTAGTAAATGTCTTTGTTTAGACTCGGTCCTTGTTTTGTTGCATTTCTTTGAAGTAGAGACCAGAGACCATTGAATCAACAAGGAACGACTTCTGATATCAGACTGATTGGTTTAATTATATTCAATAATTAATTGATGAGTTATTTATACTTCCTGGAGATGGGAGGTGGAGCCCACCCATACAGAATATATATAAATCAAAGTTTTACACTACATAAGGATGCAGAGACTCAGCAACAACAATCAGATAGGCTGTGGCATTCAAACCATGATCGATTGGGGACCAAAGTGCATCAAGAAAAAACACCACCACCACAAACACCAGCCTGCACTGTTGACACAAGGGGTCCATGGATTCAAACTCAGGGTTCTACCATCTAATTCCTCAACAGAAACTGAGCTCCATCAGACCAGGTCTTCAACTGCCCAGTGTTAGTGAATCTGTGTCCACTGCGGCCTCCGTTGTCTGTTCTTGGTGACAGGAAGTGAAACCTGACGTCCTCCTCTGCTGTTGTAGTGCATCCACCTCAAGGTTGTACATGTTGTGCATTTTGAGAAGCTAGCTAGCTCTACACAGCTGTACAGAGAGGTTATCTGAGTGACTGTTTCTGTCAGCTCCAACCAGTCTGTCCATTCTCCTCTGAACTCTCTCATCAAGAAGAACTGCTGCTCACTGGGTGATTTTTGTTTTTGAAACTGTTGAACGTGAAAATCTCAGGAAATCAGCACTTTCAGAAATACTCATAGACGACAATGACACCGCAGTCACTGAGATGTTTTCTGATGTTCGATGTGAACAATAACTGAATCTCGTCACCTGTATCTGCAGGATTGTATGCATTGTACTGTAGCCACATGATTGGCTGATAGGATAATTGCATGAATAAGCAGGTGCACAGGTGTTCCTAATAATGTGTGCGGTTAGTGTAAAAGCTTATACTAGCCAGTGACGTGCAGTCACTCTTACAGTAGGCAACAGCCAACTGCACTCCTTCCTGGCTGAAGAAGTATTAGGATTATTCCTTTCTAAAAATTGCTATTCCTATCCAATAATCGCCTCTATCTTAAAGATATTGACCATTAACTGACAATGACACACTCAGGTCATAATGCAGAATCTTGTGTTTTCCTGGCTCAATAATGTTAAGCTTTAATGGCTCATTGTCCAGACTGTAGTTGGAAAGCACAGAGGAGACGAAGGAGCATTTATTTACCGACAAATACAGCCACACCCACAAAAATCACAGAAACTGTAGATACAACGGCTGGAGGTGATAGCCTGTTGCTGCCACAAGTGGACAGTAAATTACATGATGGATGCACACAGGCATCAGATCCTTTATGGGACAGAACACTGTTCTTAGATGTGTGGAGAGATATTGCTTCCGCTTCAGTATCGTTCTAATTGATATCTATTTTTAGCTGTGACTGCTTGCCTTGCTTTTACTGACAGCACACTACTTCTACTAGCTCAGTATTCCTAGCAATTACAGTCATATTGGAAGAGTTTGGACTTCTGTGCAGCACCAATGCTGGATTTAGTGTGTCCTTCGTGTGGCCAGAGGGAAGGTATGGGTGTGGGATGTCATGCATGCAAGAATGTAACAAACTTGGATATAAATAAAACGTTGTCAGTGAGTGTATTTCGGGGTCTTGCAGAGTTCTTGTTTGTCAGTAGGATTGCCTCTGTGGATCAATGCAGAGAAAAGTGTTGAGGGTGATCATAAATCACGGGAGCCTGCAGACACGTTGATACGTAATCCTGAGTAATCCTCTGTAATCCTGCACTTAATGTCCCTGCGTGTCAAATTTTTTCATCTATTTTTTTTATTTTGTACTTTGTGCACTACAGCAATTTCATTTTCTAATCAGAAAACAAAATTTGTTGTTACTTTGGTTATTGATCCTTTTAAATATCAGACTGAAAATATCAGCAGTTTGGCTAATGGATGGTATTTGGTTTTTACAGATTGGTACCTGGGATCCTCCGAGTGGCTTGAACATGACGGACAACCAGAAGGGGAAGACAACTAATGTCTCTGATTCCTTATCCAATCGATCTCTGATCGTCTCCACTATTCTGGTACTGTATCATTCAAGTCATCTTTCTGCACTACTGTTCACATTTCTATTTCTTTATTTTTTATCTTCTTCTTTTGCTGTTAAGCAGCTTTTACACTTTGGTTCCATGTTGTATTGTGTGACAACAGTGACCATCAACACCAAACTGAGTGGGCTCCAAAATAATCAACCCAACTCAGTGGTCCACTTAGTAGTTTTGTGGAGCTTTCAACTGCATCCACGAGTCTTCTTCAGGAGACAGAGTTGGGTCAGGCATCATTATGTGACCTGAGTAACTTTAGTCACATGATAACAAGTGTTCATATAAGGGGGTAGATCCCTTCAGTATCTTTGATTCTCTCCATTTTGGCCACATGAACTGCTGCTGTTGTGTTTGTTTGCTGATAACTCTGGTGTTTATATTCATTTATATTCAGAGCCACTGGATATAGCAAAGGAAAACAGGGAAATAAAGTTGATCAATTGAACTTGCAGTGAAATGGAGAGCTATAGAAATCTCATAGTCCAGGTCTGGCTGGGTTTCATTCAGTACACTACACAGTGATGGGGAGATTGCGTCAGATTAGTATTTGAGCAGGTCGTTGGTATAAAATACACACTGACCCAGTTGGTAAACATATCATGCTCTGTGTGCACCTGCTAAGTTATCTAACAGGATTTCTGGGTAATGAAGTCTTTTAAACAACAACCGCTACCTTTCGCTAGGGCTGACAATGTGTATATTAAACATTTCAGCTTTAAATGTGTGTTTATAACTAAATCAAATTGTAATGGTGCTTTATGTGGGGCCCAATTATAGAAGGCTAGAGCAGCTCCCAGCCATGACAGGCTCCCTCCAAAGATGTCATTATTTTTAAGCTTTTCCTCTTGAAAAATTCTTCAGTGCTTTGCCTGAGATGCCCTTTCTTTTCAGAGCACTTTCTGCCACTCATTGGAAGTACAGTAGCCCAAAGCACTGCAGTCCCAAACTGCCAGTTGACTTAAGAGCTGTGGAGGACTCCAGTTTAGTGGGAGGCAGGCTCAGGCAGGGAAACTGACTGATTGATTGTCCAATAAGATTTCATGGTTTCTGGCTCTGCCTCTTATCAACAAATTTATCAGGCATGTTGTGTCATTGTCTTTCTTTCCTGAGGAAAGACAAAAACAAAGGGATTCAGACAGAACTCTAAGAAAAAGCAGTATTTTAAATCTTTGCATAAATACGACCATCATTTGACTTACATTTACTAGCTACACTGTTTAATAATACAAATACAAGTTCACATTCTGTGATTACAATTTTGATCATGCTATGTTTTTAGGCTAATTGTGTTATTGTTTTAGACAACATATTGTTTAACTTAGACTGTTTTGCAATTCAAGCTAACATTCAAATAAAAAGTAAAAAGTGAAAAGTATTCTCCACCTGAATGACATATCTGGCAGTAAAGAGGCTTTGAAACACTATTCAGACTCTAGGTTTACTAGGGTAGTACTTAGTAGGTAGTACTTTATACCATGTCACTTAGTTTGTTCAGTTGTCATGGGAATGGATGTGTTGACATGAGCATAGTTTCATGGCTAGTGTCTTTAGGACTTATTGTAGTACTCAAATGTCAAGCATCAAAGTCCATTCTTGACCTTACTGATTAGTAGCTGCACAAAAGACAACAACTACTTATTCATTTTTTTGCCCTTTCAATTTAGACAATTTAGACAATAATATAATGTTTAGTAGGTAAATGAATAAAGACAATCAATTTTTTTGTTATTTTCTTAAATATTACAAATTTTGCACAATTTGTTTGGAGGCCAGTCAGAGCCTGTTCAGGTGAGCAGGGCTGTGATTGGAGAATTTGGACTTGAGTCAAATTCATGTCAAGCCACTTTTACTTAGAAAAAAGCAAATTAGTCTTGGGCAGCTTTACTATCAGTACAGCATATGTCTATCAAGGCTGGGCAAAAATGAACTCTGGCCCCCTTTAACCCCAACATTTCAATCACTGACTCAGTAAATGTGTTCAGCGTCTGGCTGCCTCAGTGATGAAAAGTCTCCAGAAGCCACTGCACATGGCTGTTGTTCAAGTAAATCTCTCAGAAACATTAATTACAGTCTTCACAGGTCTGTTTGTCTGCAGATTAGAAAAGGGTGACACACTGTTAATTAGTGAGTTTGTAAGTGTATCCTTGAACTTTGCACACGGCTAGGCTAGCTTTTTCCCCCAACTTGCAATCTTTATGCTAAGCTAAGCTAATTACCACCCAGCCTCCCATTACCTCTGTACTGAACACACAGACTCGGCAGTGATATTAATCTTCTCATCTAACTCTCAGCAAGAAAATGAATAAGCGTATTTCCCTATCACAGAATTACCACCAACTTTGTAATGTGATTTGTGATGCAAACATTACTAACCAAGAATTACAACTAATTAAAAATTAGCGTAACTGAACAATCGTGGGTCACTTGTTGACTGCCTGTGCTTTGAGGGGCAGGCCTTCAGTTAGTGCATGCCTGTACTCCTACAAGACCTACACACACAGACTGTGCTCCATGTGAGAACAGTGACAGTGGAGGGAGATGTGTAGACGCGAGGAAAATTAAAGCAATTTATGATCCTGTTATTGAGGAGGCAAGTGTAAAAATAACAATATCAAGTAAATTGCGGGTTGTCATTATTTATCTTGGGCCTTCTTTCCTTCCGCACGTGCTGTGAAGTGATTGGATTGCAGTTATTAGGAAAGACTCTCCACGGTTGTAATTACCATATCAGGACTGAGTCATGGGGAGATGTGTGATGGCTGTGAGCAGCAAGGAAAAGGAGGGAGGGCTGACAATAATTGGGTTTGTTATATTTGATTGATGCACACTTTCATCCAGCTTCTCATCATTTTCTCAGGGATTATGTACTATAAAACATGATGTAATTACTGTTGAGATCTTGGCCTATCAACAGTTTATCTACTTTAGAAATCACTCCCATAATGTTGCAGTGGAAATGAAGTACCTTTAGGCTAATGGCTGGAGCTGCACATAATATACTGTGTAATGTCTGAGGGAGAGCAAGGAGCAGGCCTTTAGTTAGTGTTGCAAATATAAAATTCTACATTTAATTGAAAATTCATTCTGTTGCAAAGCAAAAAGTCCAATAAAATAAAAGATAGCCATAGAAAAAGATATGCAGCGCTTGAGGCAGTGGAGACAGCATGTGCCTCATCATAGATATTACATTTAATGATCAAATATCAGGGGTGGAAAGAGTACTGGAAATTTGTACTCAAGTACAAGTACCTTTATATACAATAGATTTTACTCAAGTAGGAGTGAAAGTACTTGTGTGGGGTGCGGGTGGAGTGCGTACCAGGACTCAGTCCTTACCGCAGCAGCCTGGGCTCGGATCCGACCCACGGCCCTTTACTGCATGTCATCCACTCTCTCTCTCACCCCAAACATTCCTCTCTCTCTCTCACTGCTACTCTAATAAAGGTATAGAAAAGCCCCAAAAAATAACTTAAAAAAAAAAAGTACTTGTGTAAAAATGTACTTAGATACAGGTATAAAGTACGTAACTTAAAGTTCTCTAAGTAAACGTTACTGTGTTACAAGGGAAGAAGAGGGGTAAAAAATATGGCGATAACAATATGATAAAACTATTAAATAACAGCAGAATAAAGCAGCAGATTGAAGCAGCCGAAAAAGTGGAGACAACATAAACTCCACAGCGGCTACAGCTGACAAACACAGACACATCTCTGCATTTCTAGGCAACGCAGTAGTTGTTGATGCTGTACAATGTTGCATACACCTGTCTGAATGTCATTCTGCATCTTGAGCCCTGCAAAGTCTTTTCACAATCTTCTCTAAATCCAGCCTCTCTGCTGGTGCTCAGTGCAACATATATAACCAGTCCACTCAGCCTTTCAAACACTGATCTGATTGAGCTGCAGTCACAACAGGGATCATCAGAAACAACAGAGAGGAGTGCACACCTTTGTGGAGGTGAACGTAGACGTCACCATCAGCATTTTAGCATTTATCATTAGCCAGACCCACCTGTTGCAACATGGCAGGTGTGTTTGATTTAGGGGACTTGCCGTGGTAGCTGAGCGGTGCATCCAGTCAGCAGCTTCTTCTCTGCTGCAGCTGCTGAGTTGACTCTTTTCACTTTGTTTCCTCATAACTTCATCATGTGACTTTTGTTTTTACTCGATTTGGACTTTAAACGTAGGGAAGTAAGTACTTGAGTTAAGAAATACTTTAGTACGAGTAAAGCGACTGATTTTTAAAAAATAATCAAGTATGCAAGTATGCAAATAAACGACTTTATTACAGTAACGAGAGTAAATGTAATTTGTTACTTCCACCCCTGATCAGTTGTTGTACACTCACTGTGCAAAAAATGTAGGCACTCGTGAAAAAATGTTGTCAAATGAGGTTCAAAAATAAGGCCACAAATGATTTTAACTGATCAGACAACTTCATACCTCTCTGCGTTTACCTGTTCTGAGCTGTTGATTCTGCTGGACATTGTCCACTTTCAATGGGAAGTCAGCTCAGTGTGTGAGCTTGGACACCACATTTGTCTGCTGTTGCAGGATGAGCGCTGTGTGTCTTGTTGAAAGATTTACTTTTGCCAGTTTGTTAGATTTCTAGATGAAACATTCACTTCACAAACTCACCTTTTCAGTATGACCATCGCTCACCCAGTTTTATCCTCCCTACACAGCTGTTTCAATTATTCAATCATCAAATGAATGACTGTGGGTCAGCTTACATGTTATGTTGTTGTTCATTAGCACCTGTTTGGTGGAACTGTTTAATCATGCACATTGTTACATTCTTGAACAGCATAAAATAACTCACTGGGATATTTCACTATCTGCAAAATGATTGGAATGCTTGAAAATTGTAGACACAAAAACCACCTGGTTAAAGGTTCAGGAGCCTTTGTCAATAATGTAAACAAATCCCATAAAAAGAAAAAATAACAAGTTAATGTGTCAGTCTAATCTCTCAGTTCT